ATTTGTCGATTCTAATTACCATTATTATACAATTGATCTTTTATGTCGACCATTTGAAGCACCTGATAAAAGTAGCACTAATGTTTTGACGGTACATTTCCGATTGTATTTTTAAGAACGTATTATAATCATTTCGATTGTGTTTTTTTATTTTAAGGTATTACAAAATGAACTTGTACGATTTGGGATTGATGATCTATATAAAATCACAATCGTTTGTGATAGAGGTAGTAACTTCTTAAAAGCTTTTCGAGATCATCGTCCAATTTTATGCTATGCACATCGACTTAATAATATTTTAAAAAGAACATTTTTTCAGCACAATAAATATTCGTCCATTACACTGTTACCACTTGTTTATAATGGTTCTTCATGCAGCGAAATAGAAGATGAAGATGATGGTAATAGTTTCAATAATCTTTCAAAACCAATTCAAATTAAAAAAAAGATATTATCATTATCTGTCAGAGGTATTGAAGAAACAGCGATGACAATTAAAGTTGATGATATACCTCCAGCTGCTCAAGAGGTAATAAGAACAATTATCGAATGCAAAGCCTTGGCAAAATATATTAAAAAAGTAAATATAAAACAGTATCTCACTAAAATTTATTCTGTAAAGTTTTCTGCTGTTCCATAGACCGGATTAAATAAAGAGGTTCAAGCAGCTGGTGGAAATGCAATTCGACAAGCTACAAATATTCGTTGGCTTTCTCTGATCGATTTATTAGACAGTATTCGTACATCATACATGGAAATAAAACTTATATTAAGCCGTCGAAAAAACCAGTCACGATTAACAATTATTAGTCAAATATTGTTGGAAGATATTACACGATTCTTAACACCATTCAAGTCAGTATTGAAACTAATACAAGCAGGATCAAAACCAACATTATACTTAGTATTACCTTGCACTTTAACTATTCGCAAGGTATTAAATTCGTTTGATGAATTATTGGACCACGTAAAGAAATATGCATTAGATGAAAAAACAAACAATAAATTACATAATAATGTAGATGATGATAATTGTTTTAACTGCGAAGAAGATAAAGGTAATTAAAATAAGAGACTCTCAATATACTGAAGTAACTGTTTTAGGTTTAAAATATATTCGTGAACGTACATCTGTTTTATTCTCGAATATGTTGGAATTGGATTCTCGGCACTATTGTGCTACCATACTTCATCCTGATTATCGCACTCTACGTGGCTGCTCAACACATGAAAAAACTGATGTGTCATCAATTTATTCGTGAACAGTTGAAAAACATGCATCAGCAATCAATTAATAAAGACGGTGAATCACAAAAGAAGAAACGATTAAAAATTGATCACTTATCGACATTAGATGATTTCAAAGATGATCCAGAAGCTAGTGATTATGATGAGTGTAGCGATGATGATGACGTTAAGAGCGTCGAATATTCATTATCAGTTACAAAGTCCGATGAATTAAGCAAGTATTTATCAATGAAAATTGATATGAAACAATATTCATCTGATGTTCTTACATTCTGGCGAAACAACGCTGATGAATTACCAAATCTTTCTAGACTAGCTAGACAAATTCATTCAATTCCAGCAACCAGTGCAAGTGTGGAGCGTCAATTTAGTATTGCTGGACTCACACTCAGTGAGAGACGAAATAGTTTGGATCCTGAACAATTAGATAACATTATATGTATTCGTGCCATGGAAAAAATTAATGGAAAGATATAGTTTTTTTTTAATGTAAAGATTAGTACTTGTTTTCTTTAAAAGATTGTACTTTATATTTTATATATTTTCGAAACTGTTTCATTTGCTTTTCTTGTTTCCTTCATTATATTTTTTTGTAATTTATTGTAAACTAGTCGGTGTTTGAAAATTTTCTAAGTGTTTATTTTTTGCTGTGAAACAGTTTTGGTGCCATTCTAGGTACTTTATCTTCTACTTTATGAGAGTTCTTTTTCTATATTATGGTTATTATGGAAGTAAAAATAAAAAAATCAGATTAATGTTAAATAATATCACTAAGTATGCAACTTGATATATATTTGTGTTAGAACAATCAATTGCAGTTTTTAAGTTTATTATAAGCCTGCAGGCCAGGCCAGGCCAGATCAATGCAGGCCAGGACAGGCAACAGGCCGAGTAGCTTTTTTTTGGCCTGGCCTGCTTTTCTGCCTGGCCTGCCAGGTCAGGCGACCAGGCCAGGCCAGGCTAACAAAAAGTGGCCTGTTGGCAGCTCTGATGTATAATTGATCGTATTATCATATTCGAGTGGGCGACGCTATAGTTTAACGAGAAACTGTATAGAAAAGCACTTTCTTTTGCTTTTTTCTTAAGCAGGAGTTTAAACATAAGATGTCATTTCTTCTGTCTTCAGTACTTTATTTGAAT